GCTGCTCAAGGAGCAGGTGAGCGCTTGGCCCTGTGAGGGAGCGGTGTGGGTGGGGACACAGCCCCATGCCTGCCCACACCCGGTCCCTGCTGCCCACAGACTACATACCCCCCGACACACTACATCCGGAGGGTGCCCCAGAGGAAGATCCACTACTTCACAGGCCTGCAGGTGCTGCAGCTGCTGCTGCTGTGCGCCTTCGGCATGAGCTCCCTGCCTTATATGAAGATGATCTTTCCTCTCATCATGATCGCCATGATCCCCATCCGGTACAGGCGGGTGGGCGGTGGACAGGAGAGGTCCCACTTAGAGGCAGAGAATGGGTGGGTTGGGCTGGGTGCCCAGGAGGAGGGGTCCTGCCTAGGGGTGGAGAGTAGGTGGGCTGGGGTGGCCGGTGGGCAGGAGGCGCCCAGCCTAGAGGTAGAGTGGGCGGGTTGGGGTGGGTAGTGGATAGGAGCGGCTCCAGTCTAGGAGTGGAGAGTGGGCGGGCTGGGATAGGCAGGCGGGGAGGAGAGGCCTAGAGCCTCGCCCTGTGGGTGGGCTGGGGTGGGCTAGGATGGGTGCCCACTGCCTTCTCTCTGATCCAGGCTCATCCTCCTGTCCCTCCCTCCCCGCAGCTATATCCTCCTGCCCCGAATCATTGAAGCCAAGTACTTGGATGTCATGGATGCTGAGCACAGGCCTTGACTGGCAGGCCCTAGCCACGCCCCATTCGCTAGCTTCCCATGTCCTCCCAGGCTGGCTCTGGGGCTGTGAGGGGAGGTGTAGGTGTGTGGGTGACTGCTCTGTGCTGCACCTTCTCATGGCTGACTCAGGCCTGGGGCATCTGGGCATTGTAGGGGTGCAGTGGTATGTGCCCACCCCTCCCATTATCCTTTAGCTTTGTGCCAAGAGCATTGCTCAGGGCAACTTCTGCCCAGGGTGGGTGGGACTGAGCAGGATGGATTTTCTTTTGATAAAAGAGTCGATGCCTGAAAGAGAAACCATTTCCTTGATTGTGTAAGGAACTTGCCGTACGCACATTAGAGAATAAAGCTCCTGTTTCTAGGCTCCTATGTGCTACCTCTGTCTCTGCTACTGCCACCCCACCCACACTCTGGGGAGGGGAAGCCCTCCCTGGGGAAGTGGAATGCAAGGGACCGAGTCTATGGAATGCCTCCTGTGGGCTGTCACCTCCAACGTCACACAGTGGGTACTGGCCCAACAGTGAAACATGGAAGATCCAGGAGGCCTTTGCATGGCCATTTTTCCAGGACCTGCAGGGAAAGCGTTCTGGGAATAGCATATGCGAGGGTCCAGAGGAGCGAGGGCTTGGGGCCACTGAGGCGCTGTGGCTGGTGGAGAGCAGTGGGGCGGGAGGGACCATCAGGGTGACAGCAAAGGGCCCTGTGACTCTCAGATGAAAGCTGCCTGCCGGGAGGCCGAGGCCCCGTGTGGAGCACTTATGAACCATCCCATGTGTTGTGCGGATCCTGGATTTTATAGGGCGGGGGCAGCACTGGCGTGGATGGAGGGAGGTGGGAGGACTGCCGATGGCAGGACACGGGGCGGGAATGGTTTGATGGAGGGAGAAGGTGCAGTGTTTCTGGCTTGGTCATTTGTTGTTGGTCAGGGTCTCACAGTGGCAGCCGACAACAGGGAATATTGGCTCAGGGGAGCGCCCTGTGCGTGGCAACAGTGGTCAGCAGGAACACCTGCGGCTCACATCGCCTCCTGGACTAGCTTGACAAATGCCCCATGGACTAAGCAGACAGAAGAGATTGGCTCCGTCTAAAACTGAAAATATATCTGAAATATGCAAATATCTGAAATATGCAAAGAATTCCTGCAAACCAACAAACGACAGCAGCCCCAACAGAAGAGGCAGAGGCTGTGAACAGGGGAAGGAGGCCCAACTGTAACAGGAGTAGCGAGAGGTGCTCAGACCGCTTGGTAATTAGAGAACCGCAAGCTCACATGAGATGCCACCTTACACTGGGTAGCGTGGTGCTGAGTGGGAGATCAGGAGCCCCCAGGGCCCGGAGAACTAATCCAGGTGAGTATGAGCGTACTTGCATGCTCGCATGCTCTCCACCCTGCTGTTTGGGGACGGGTAGCAAGTGTGGAAAAACCAACTCAAACCGTTTTCCTCTACTCTCGCTGTGCACAACAGTCAACACAGAAGATTTCTGTGACCACGTAAGGGATTTCTCATAGGACAGCTGCTGGGTGTCCACCAATTCAATTCAATTCAACCCAACTGCTACCTGCCAGGAGATAGCTTCAGAAACCCCAAGTTGAGAGTTCAGTCCCACAAGACCACCACTTCCTTCCCACCAGTCTGAGGTCTGGGCCTGCAGAACTTCTGACACTCTGTCTTCAACTTGGGGTTCCCACGACTCCTGTTTTGGGTTCAATTAATTTGCTAGAGTGGTTCACAAAAGTCAGGGAAACATTTACTTATATTTAGCAGGTTTTAATTTTTTTTTTTTCTTTTTGAGACAGAGTCTCATTTTTAATGTGCAATGGCCTGATCGGCTCACTGCAACCTCCACCTCTGGCTCAAGTGATTCTCATGCCTCAGCCTCCCAAATAGCTGGGACTACAGGTGCATGCCACTACGCCTGGCTAATTTTTGTATTTTTAGTAGAGACGGGGTTTCATCATATTGGCCAGTCTGGTCTTGAACTCCTGACCTCAAGTGATCTGCCTGCCTTGGCCTCCCAAAGTGCTGGGATTACAGGCATGAGCCACCATGCCCTGCCTAAATTTTTTTTTTTAATTATTTTTTAAGGATTGGGCATTGATGGAGTTCCCAGTGATGAATAAGAGCTAATGGGCCCAGGGCCTTGCCCCCCACCCTACTGGCTTATTAAAAAGGCTGACAGATGAAGAGATGCACAGGGTGAGGTGTGGGGGAAGGGGCACAGAGCTTGTGTGCCCTCCCCGGGGTGTCACCCTCCAGGAACCCCCACATGTTCGGCTATTCAGAAGCTCCCCAAACCCTGGCCTTTTGGGTTTTTAGGGAGGCCTCATTACGCAGGCATGATTGAATAAACCACTGGCCACGGGTGATCAATTGAACCTTCAGCCCTGCCCCTCCCTGGAGGTGTGGCGGGGGGTGGAGACCGAAAGTCCCAGTCCTCTTGTCCTGTCTTGGTCTTTCCATAACCAAGCTACCTAGATGCTGCCAGCCACCTCATTAGCACACAAGAAGACATCAGTGTGGAGTTTCTGAGAGTTTTTAAGTTGTTTGCTAGGAAAGGGGTCAAAGACCAAATACATATATGTTTTTTTTGAGACAGGGTTTCACACTGTTGCCCAGGCTGGAGTGCAGTGGTGCGATCGTGGCTCACTGCAGCCTCGATTTCCCTAGGCTCAGGGGATCCTCCCACCTCGGAATCCTGAGTAGCTGTGGCCATAGGCACGCACCACCATGCCCAGCAAATTTTTGTATTTTTGTAGAGACAAGGTTTTTTTTTTTTTCTTTTTCTTTTTTTGTGAGACGGAGTCTTGCTCTGTAGC